AAATTGGTAGCAAATGAAGCATTGCATCGTGGCATGTTAGGGCTGTCTCTATACAGTTCCAGATGGACTTTGAATACAACATTGGGCAGCTTTTGCCAGATGCAGTGTTCTTTGAATAAGTAAATGTAAAGCAGAAATAGTCTAATTTTCTGATGGGATCCTAATATTCTATAGAACGATTTATGAGTCATTGTATTTTAGAACAAGAAGATAAATTTTCTGTGACAGATTTTCTAAACTCAATAAACTCAAACACAACAAAACAAAAAACACCAAAGCCTCTCTAGCTATTTTTCATTTTTCTTTTCAGGTTAGATTTATTTATTTATGCATACAATAAACTTGGGTACAGGAGCTGCAGGGTGGTGGTGGTGGAGAGAGGATTCACCAGAGAGAGTGGGGACCAGAACAGGCAGGTTGACAAATACACTGCTGAGGGGGCAGGGGCGGGGCAGGAGAGGCCTGCAGCGCCCTGGCTGGGGATGCATCTTGTGTTGCAGGCTGTGGACAGCTCATAGCACTTCACTTTAACTCATTGCGCCACCACAGAGGCCCCTCTATACAGTGTTTATGTCATAATTTTGTAAGTCTGTCCTCACCAGCTTGAAAGTTACCTGGCAATTCTTACCTAAACCACTGTCAACATTTCTTGAGGTTTCATCTCCTTTATTGAATGAGCAAAACAGCATGGATCAAAGGTAAATGCCCTGTCTTTGTTGTCAGGAGACTCAGTAAATCAAGTAACTGTTGCAGGATATACTATGACAAAGACCTTAAACTTGGGTGAGTGCTGCTTTGTGACAAAGAGGAGGGAACTCCATGTGGAGTTTGGGTACGTCAAATACTGAAATCACAGAGGCCCCCCTCAACGTGACATTTGATAATCATTTACTTATTCTTTGCATGTGGCTATCCATTTGTTCTCAGCACTCTTTGTAGAAAAGACTTTTCTTTCTCCCAGGAATTTGTCTTGCTCTCCTTGTCCAAAATCAATTAACCATAAATGAATGTATGGACTTATTTCTGGACTTCCAGTTATATTGCATTGATTTATATGTTCATTATTTATTTTAAGATTTGTTTTAAATTATGCATACAAAAACTGGGGTGTAAGCTGGGGGTGGGGTTTGAGAGGATTCACCAGAGATAAAGTGGAAGCAGAACAGGCAGATGTACTGAAATACACTGCTGAATGGGTTAGACACAAGAGATCTGCTGTGCCTGTGCTGTGTGGGTCAGCTTCCTGACCGGGGATCAAACTCAGGCTTAGTGGCTGGCATAGTGCTAAGACTTGAACCCTTGCCACCAGGGAGGCCCCTGTCCATTCTTCATTATATCAGTGCCACGCAGTCTTGGTTGTTCCTTTGGAATCTGGAAGTTGAGTACTTTTAAATTTGTTCTTTTTCAAAGTTACCTTGGCTTTCTAGGTTACTTACCTGTCCAAATGAATTTTAGGACCACTTTGTCAATTTTTGCAAGAAAAGCAGTGGGATTTGGGTAGGGGTTGCATTAAGTCTGTAGATCAGTTTAGGGGATATTGCCATTTTTAGCAATATTTCATCTTCTAGTCTGTGAATATAGGGATGTCTATTTATTTAGATCTTTTAAAATTTCCTTCAAAAATGGTTTTGCAGTTTCTTGTATGTAAATTTTGTCTTGCGGTAAATTTATATTCTTACATACTTATATTTATATTTTTAGATATTTTTTCCTTTTGATGCTGTTGTATTTCAACTCTACTTTTGTATTTTTCATTACTGATGAAAATATAGTTGGTTTTTTTTGTATTGATCTTTTGCCTCTGGCTGCCAAACTATTTCATTCAACTAGTACCCTAAAATCTCGGTTGTCATAAAAATTCTGATATTTATGATGATTATTTCTTCAGCAAGCTTGCATTGCATCAACACTGAACTATTTTTAGTCTAGTAATAGGCTTTCAAACCTTTGGGTAATAGTTAAATGTAACTGTAAATAAATTTTTTTATCTCTAGCTTTTCTGTACCAACGTCACTATGGACTGATTTTTTTTTTTTTTATTAAAATAGAGACTAAATCATGCTTGAGAATAATGTTGGAGAAACTTACTATTTCCCCTCAACTAACAGTTGGAATCATAATTTTGAGGTGTTCTGAAAACACCCAGTTCAGGTCTGGCTTCTAGACTCAGGCGTGGCTGCTGCTCCTCTCAGTTCAAGGCCACCTGTCCCGGTTTTGTACATGCCACACACCCGAAGTCTGAAACTTTGCTCGGCTTCCTGCTTGCAACTTGTGGCTGACACTTGTCACCCATGTCCCCTAGCTGGATGCCCTGGCCTTCTGGGCTGCTCCGCTTGTTTGATTTCTTCTTTGGCTTGTGTTTCTTGGACTTGTTTAAGCTAATCTTATCCCACCCTTCCCAGTCTGCGTGTGTGATTAGCCTTACTGAGCTTTTGGCTCTGGCTTCTTTTTTATCCTATAATCTAAAATTTTGAAGTCTATCAAATTTTCAAATGGTTTCAAGTAATTATAAATATATTACCATGTATATGATTTTGGGTGATGGTGATGCTTGGTCTTTTAAAGTTTTCATAGTCTGGATGTCAACTTTCGCCATGGTGGTTTTCAGTGTTTTTGGGAAGTGAGTGGCATACGAGTCATTCCTTTACTTCTGTTTAGAAGCCAGTATACATTTTTAGAAATATTACATTACATTTTACAGAACTTTAAAAGTGGGTTTCTGTCTTTGAGTAGGTTAGACTTGAGCGATTTTGGTCCTTTTCATTCTGAACCAAGAGGTTTATAAAAACATCATTTACTGCTGCTGTTACTTCCCTGGAGGGGCCAGCTGACTCAGTGTGCTCCCCTGTAGTGGTCTCCCTCTATGAGTTCTCAGTGCCCCAACGTCCCCACAGCCACTCTGGCCCTAGGGGTACTATATTTAAAATTTTTCATATCTAAAATAATTTGGATTTATATGTAGTTTATAAAAAATGACATTTGCATGTTGAAAAAATGACTAAGCACAGTGTTTTTAAAAAAACAAAACCTCATGTAAAACTTTGTCTCCTGTCTTTGCCATCTTTTTCTTCTGTTAACTGGAAACATAAAGTTAGTTTATTAGGTAATCAAAAGTGCAGACTTGAACCTAGGAAACAATCTCACAAATTTTGCTTTGCAAGAACTGTTCCAATAAACACAAGTTGGAATTAGGTTTATAAGGTAGAAAATGGTGAGTCATTGAAATTAACGATGTAGTTATTCTTGATAGGAGGGACACCTAGTATTACGTTGTCCTGACATAAAGCTATGTTGATGCTGGAGGAAGGCAATGCAGGATTTAATCTCTTCCTTTCTTCAGAAATGCCCTGCAGAGATGCAAATTCTGGGAACCTGATATTCAGCTTTTTTTTTTAAATCTGATTCCTCACTTACCACTGGGGTTAAAAAGCTGCCTTTACCTGCAGGCATCAGACTTTACATAGCTTATGATTCAGACTTGCAGATGGCTTTTCTCTCTTGCCTGCTAGAGGTAGAATGGGATACCTAGAAAATTCATGTTCATACTCCAACCCTGCTTCCCAAAGCAGACACTTGGAGTTGCTGCTTCTTAGTAACATTTTCTGCTCATGCTTGTCTCTAGCACCTTGGATAGTGCCTCTTGGGACACCTAATAAATATTTGTTGGTTGGATGAATGAAAGGCTATTCATACTCTTATGTTCAGAGTTTTTATTTGTTTTAAAGTTGCATGCAAGAGCTGGTGTGTAGGCCGGAGTTGTGGGGAGTGAAGGGACTCATCAGAGACAGAGTGGGGAGCAGAATAGGGAGACAGACACTGCTGAGAGGAGCAGCAGGCAAGACAGAAGTCCTCTGCACCATGTGGGTCAGCTCCCTGGCTGGGAATGGAAGTCCTGCTTTTAATGGCTGCTGATAGCTTCATAATGCGGAGACTTAACCCTGTGAGCCACCAGGGAGGCCCTGTTCAGAATTTTTAACTAATTTACTATATAATTCTAGGCTTAATGTTTTTCATTTTGGATGACATCACTCTGCCATTTTAACATACAATGTTGCTATTCATGTGAGTGTAGTTTCTTTGCAGCTGACCTGTTTCCTTCCTATAAACTTTTGTGACTTTTTAAAAAACATGTTAAAAAAACATTGCCAGGTTAAAAAAAAAAAAAAAAGCATTGTCATGTGCCAGTTAATTTTCTTGAATAATTTTTTGAATGGTCTTTCCTTACCCTTCTACCCTCCAAAGAATCAAAAATACTTTCTGTATTATCTCTTCCTATTAATAAACTTTCATTACTGGGATATAGGAGTTTAGTTCGTTTTTCATTTCTTGATTTTTAGTTATCTCTTCTAATTTCTGGGAGAGAGTTCCTTTTAATCTAGACCCTTGTACCCTGTGTGTGTGTGTGTGTGTGTGAGATGTATTATCTTATTTCTTGTATCCTAGGATTTATTCCTCTGTTGTAGGTAGTCTTTTAACCCTACCCCCACCCCTTGTAGCTCTCCCCTCACTCTTCTTGCTCAAAGGCTAATTCATGATTTATAGCAGGCTCCAAGCTTGCCTTGGTGGCCACTTCCCTTCTCAAAGCTAAAAGTTTATCCTTTTGTTTGTTTTAATACATCTGTTTTCAATCAGCTAAAATTGTTCTTGGTGAAACCTTTTCTTCCATTGTTACTTCATTTTTCATTTTCATTGTAATTTTAATTGCCATTTTTGGTGTGGTTTTAAGGGGGAAAGATAAGTCACTCACATATATTCCATCTGCCATTTTAATTTTTATTTCATTTAATTTTTTCATCTGCCACTTTAAAAGTGGAATTCTTTCTCTCCCTTTGAGACCTGCTTGCTTAATTTTATGGTTGGAATTCAAATGAAAAGTTAAAAATGTAAATTCAGAATCAGTAGCCCTAAAAGATTGAGAATGAAATGTTGATTTGAACTATTTTAATACCTAAGTAGATAATGTTTTGTAATAATAAATTCTTTGAATTTTATTTATGTAGAAGAAATTGAGGAAGAATCTGAAACAACAGTTGAGGTTGACTTGACTGATAAACAGAAGCATCAGTTGAAACATAGGGAACTCTTTTTGTCAAGACAGTACGAATCTCTGCCTGCAACACATATCAGGTAAGAACTTTTTAGAAGCTGATCTGAAGAGCTAATATTGTGACAATTCAAAAACCAAACAACTGCTTTGAAACATTTCCCAAACTCTGCAGATGTTCTTATTCACATTAATTTAATAAAGACTTCACTAAAGGAATTTATCTCGATCATTTATCATGTGTATTAGCATATTACACCCTGCAAATAAATGTTCTGCAGTAAAGTAGTCATTTTAGTGTTGTTTTCACCTGCATGTTCCCAGTTTGTGTGTGTATTAATGCAGCCTCCTCTGCAGTGGTATTCAGCAGCCACTATTCAGGAAATGCGTGTCTTCTCTAGTTTCTGAGAAAATTATATAGTCATTAGAATCTAGAGCTAAAACCCCAGATTTGGCTCTCAGACAGAAGACTCTCGATCACTTAAGATGTATGACCTTTTCTTTTCTTTTGAGGTCCTCCTGGGTGAGAACTCTATCCTTTATTACTCACTTAGTTGCAACTGCTCTGTGCCTTGATAAGCTGCAAACGTGAAAGAGTCCAGTATTTGGTTTGGGTTTTGGTGTTACGGAGGAGTGGTAGGTGTCTGTTGTGATCTGAGCAGTACTAAAATTTAAGCATAGATACAGTTGGGTCCTCATGCAGTCAGTGCATGTTGTAGGTGTAACAAATGCTTGAACTCAAGAGATAGGCAGCTGTTGACCTTCAGGGTCAGGAAAGCTGCAGAAAGAGTTGGCGTTTGATCCGCTTTTGAGAGCGTTATAGGCGGTTTCAGGTGGAGAGGAGAGGTGACACCAGTGTGTGAGGGAGCAGCTTGTCCGAGGGAGCAGCTTGTCCATGGCACCAGGGGGAACAGTGTTACACTCCCCTTGGGCTAAAGAAGTTGCTTCAACCTTTGTTTACAATCTTTACTTCTTTGATTTAGCTCTCTACTAGTCATGTTTGTCTTCAAGAGGCTTAGTAAGAAAATAAGTATATTAACTTTTTATCTCAAGCCTGCACACTCTGCTTTATTTCCTCAATGTTAGTATCGAATGTTAGTCTGCTTTAGTGAGCTCACACAAGTTTGGGGACCTCCTAAAGCATGTGCGTGTGTACACCCAGAACCCCCCAAGTTATGTTCTTGACTACACACACACACAGCTGTGCGTTTGCATACACGCAGCCCCCTGGCCCCCCCAACTGCAGAAACTTTTTTTGTGTATACTTCTCATTTCAGAAATGGACCCAGACATCTTTGAAGGCAGGAAATGTATAACAAAGATGCTGGACTTTCCTTTTATTCCAAGTCTTTTAGAAATCACTTGGTCCCTCTCAGTAGTTTGACATTCTGTCATAGTTTATTCAGTTTTTAGAGGGACATTGCCTTTAGATTGACTTTCAGAATTATTCTAGTCTGTGCATGTTGGACCTTTGCTGGAAAAGATAATCAGGTAATGTGAGGACAGTCATTTTACCTACCAGCATTAGGAGTTTTTCAAGAAATAGTAAAGTAAGTTTTTGCTTTGAAATGGAACATGAGGACATTTTGCAATTTTTAAAAAGGTGTTTAACTAATAGATGCTGAAGAGCCATATGCATTTGTTATTTAATTGGAAGAAAGTGTAATATAAAGATTCGTTTTAAACTCAAGAAGCTTTGTGGCCAGTCATAAAAATCTTGCCAGAATAAGAATCTGACAAATGGTTTTAAAAATGTATCTAAAACATGCAAGTATATTTTTAATTTACCCCCTCTCCCCGCCCCGATAGCTTGGAATCTGTTTACAAGTCATGTTGGTTGCCTTTAACAGATTGCTTCGAGTGGAAAAACTAAAGATGTTTTTCATCTTCCATAAGGATTGAAATATACTTGTAAGCTACCTCTATGTTGAACATAGAAATTACATAATATACGTTATCATTCAGTCACTGTTGAATAGATTCCTGAATATATTCTAGATAGGGAGTTTACATAGTACTTGATAAGTAAGACAGGGTTCCTAGCTCATAAATTCAGTTTTCTAGGTGGTGAATCTTTTGAATTAAAAGGAGTATCGACATTTGGGGCTTTTGTTTTTTCTAAGCTGAACAGGAGTAGTGCAGAGGCATATTTTCTCAACTGTGGTTCTCATTTTCAAGCAGCTGAATGGGGTTGAGACAGTCTCTGGCCAAAGCACAGAGCAGTGCTAACCAGCCATCATGCTGATTCAGAACAAATGCACGTTGGAGTGATCTTGACATTTTGCTAATGCTGAAGTCATGCCCTATCTATTTCTGCCATAACAGGAGAAAATTACTGAAGCCCCATTGTTCTTTGGCAGCAAAGAGGGGTAATTTGGTGAATACTGGCTTTTTATTCTCAGGGACATTATTAAGTGCCCAGAATTTCCTTGGTGTGATGTGGAATATAGGAGAAAACCTGATTGAGGCATTCTTGAGGTCCTTTGTAGTTTGTGAACTATGATACTCACTGGTTGTTGTAAGCTTCTCAAATAGGCGGGAGCCAACATTTTGTTCCTTCTGATTCCAATGGAAGAGCAAATGGCTGAATAGGACTTGGGACAGTTCTCAGTACAGTTAGTAATTGTTTCTTCTTTGGAGACAGAGAGAACTTGAGCAATGAGAATACCTTTGGAATATTTTTTAGGAGAAAGCAGAGGGATAGCATGCTTTATTCTTAAGACCATTAACAATAGATTCTGGGCCTCCCTGGTGGCACAGGGGTTAAAGTCTCAACACCATCAAATTCTTGCCAGCCACTGGGGCATGAGTTCAATCCCAGGCCAGGGAGGTGACCCATGTGGCACAGCAGACCTCTCTCTCTCACCTACCGCTGCCCTCCACAGTGTATTTCTCTAGAGCCACCTGTTCTGCTTCCCACTGTCTCTGGTGAATCTGCTTACCCCCCTGCACCCCTCACCGAGACCCCAGTTCCTGCATGCATAAGTAAATATTAAAAAAAAGTTTCTGAGCTGCATATAAGTATAAACACCAAAATTTATTATTATACCAACTCTAGACTTGATATATGTATTTATTTGACTATATTTAATTTTTATATAGCCCAGCTCATGTTTAATGAGCTTGGCTTTAGAAAATTCTAACATTTATTGAACTTATATGATAGGTGCTGTTCTGGTGGTTTTGTTTGTGTAAATCCCACAACTCTGTAAAGTGGGTCCTGTTGTAGGTCCCATTTTGCAGGTGAAGAGACTGAAGTACAAAGGGGCAAATAACTTTACATTCTCTTGGCACATGAATAGGCAGGTTCAGAAATTAAACCCAGATTACCTGCCTGTATATACACATTACTGTGTTGACTCTTAAATGTTAAAAAGCATCACAGTTGTAAAGACACTTTCTGTATCTAACCAAGTCTACCTTGAATGGGTAGACTCTGACTTTCTCTTTTCTTTCACATAATTTTTCTGTTTTAACTCTTAAGTCAGATGGACAGAAAGAAATTAAAAGCTGAGTTAAGCATATAAACTAGCATTTAAATACTGAAAGATGATGTTACAGCACTACCTCTGTTGAAGCAGTTGGGCATGATCTACTTTACTAGGTGCATAAGTTTATGAATGTGTCTTACTTGATCATTTGTCAGTTTTTCCACATTTTGAACACTAAGGCTGACTTTTTAAAAACTACCAATTGTAGTCTTATGCATGGAATGATTAGTACTTCTTTCCAGCCTTGGTGCAGGTATTGGTGTCACTTAAGAAGGGCCAGTCCTTTCCTGCTTGCCAACCTCCCTATCTAGATCACAGTTCTTTGAAGTAATACCTCAGTGTGTCTCAAGGCATTTCCCCAGGCACCTGTTGATGACTGGCCTCTATTTGCTCCATAGGAAGGGGCTTGGGCCTGATGATTTGTTCTCTAAGTCTGAGGAGTAAGGAGGGAGAGAAGCCATATCATATTCACACTGGTAAACCTAGTTCTAGTTCTTGTTCAGAGTATCACTGTCTCATTGCTTAATCCTGACCATTTTTTTTTTTTTTGAAAGGCCAGAGAAGCTATCCCAGAACCTAAAATTTTTTTTAATGCATACAAGAACTGGGGTATAGGCCAGAGGCTCAGGGTGTCAGAGGATTCACCAGAAACAGAGTGGGGTCAGAACAGGCAGAGCTACTGAAATGCACTGCTGAGGGGAACAGCAGGGCGAGACAAGAGGTCTGTTGTGCCATGTGGGTCAGCTCCCTGGTGGGGGATTGAACTCACGCCATAGTGGCTGACCATAGCTTGATGGTGCTGAGACTTTAACCCCTGCACCACCAGCGAGAGCCTCCAGTACCTAAATATGATGTCACTAGTATGCTAGACCTTAAAGCACAGTATTTAAGTGGTCTCATAATGGCAGCCTTACATTCTCTTACGTTTAAGCCATTGTTAGCATATGACATTGCTCTTCTGACTGTTGTTGACATTTGATTATTGTCTAGAAATTCATTCACTGTTGTTAGACAAGGGTGATATTCTAATTACATTGTCTTTTATGCACTCGTTGGAAGACTTGTATAATTTTTTTGTTCCAATTCTTCGTTTAAGTTTTATGTTTTAGTGTATAATGCTTTACAATGGAGGTTCTCAACTCTGTCAGATCAGCATCACCACATATTGTACAGTACATCTTATACTAGTCAGAAATGAAATGCATAGATAATTCTTTGCACATACATGATAGGTACTTTTGCTTGCTGTTTAATTTGGGATTTAAATTATTTTCCCTTTAAAACTTCACAGGAATTGATAACCGTCATAGGGCTTGCCTATGCAGTGTGCATAAATGCCAGCGTATACCACCAGGGTTTGGTGTTAAGGCTGGTGACAAAACCACCTGAGCAATGATTTTCATTGAGCAAGAAAAGTTGAAAGAGCCTGGTCTCCCAAGCTCATGGTGTCTAAGGATCACATGTGATGTCTGTTAATAACTTAGAGTGCCGTATTCCTCCCTCCCCGTGATATTTTGATTCAGTATATCTGGTGTGGCCCTAAGAAATCTGTATTTTCTTTTTTTAAAGATTTGTTTATTTGTGCATACAGAACTGGGGTGTAGGCCAGAGGCTCAGGGGCAGTGAGAGGCTTCACCAGAGACAGAGTGGGGAGCAGAACAGGTAGATCTATGAAGTACACTGCTGAGGGGAGCCGCGGGCGGGTCAGGAGAGGTCTGCCGCGCCATGTGGTCACCTCCTGGGCAGGAGGGAATCGAACTCATGCGGAAGTGGCTTTAGTTTCTCAGTGCTGTGCTTTAAACCCGCTGCACACCAGGGAGGGTCAGAAATCTGTACTTTTTTCCAAGCAGCAGTGGTGGCCCAAAGCCATCTACAAGTTGTGTGAACCTCAAGTAAAGTCTTCAGGTAGTGGGGAAATGGACAAAGATTTAAGTGTCTTCTTTTTTCATTTATACAAATAGGTGGCGTGCTAAGATAAAAGCATTATATAAGCTGTGTGCGTATTTACATATGACTTTGAGGCAGTGGGATCGTACTGGGCTTCCTGTTAAGCAAATAGCAGGTCCAGGCTGATCTGCAGTTGCCCTTCAGTGTGTAACCATTTTGTGTCTTATTTATTCACGCCTCTCTGTCACAGCAACCTGCACAGTCTCCAACACAGTATATTTTTAAAACTTAATGTTGACCTGTGAGAAGGTATGTGATCTGTCGGATTTTAGTGTTCCTGTGTGGTTTCCCAGAGAAAAGCAGGATCAATCCTATGGACCTGTACTGCTATGGTCTTTTGTATGTTTTGTTTCATCATGTTTTAGGTGAATATGTCACTCATGAAGGAATAAAATATTGTGGAAAAGAATAATTGGAATTATTGTTTGTGGGTTTCTATATTCAGACTTTGACAAAAGATCCATTAGTTTGGGGTTAGCTTGCATCTTAGGTTTTTATCTATGAGCCAAGATTTGTTTGGCATACAGGAAACCAACACTTTAAATCTCTTTTAAAATTACATTTATGAACAATTCTTGATATGGTATAGATCTTGATAATGTATAGAATATATACTCATTAATTATATATTCACATTTACCTCCTAAAAAATTCTGACTCAACCTCCTACTTTTTGGTTAGGTGTTATAAATGTACATGAACATTTTAAGTTTTGGGCTTTCATGCTTTCATTTTTATTTATTTTGTGCAGAACTTACTCTGAGCCCCATGTTTTGTTTCTTCTGGGATCTCTTTTTCTTCTGTGTAGCCTCCGTTTCTGGGTTTTGGACAGTGCCTTGTCCTCAGTAAAATGCCATCTCAGTGTGTCAGGGAGTGTGCAGGCGTGTTCGCCCCGCCATCAACTCCAGGTTCTGTGACACAATGTGGACTTGGTTCGCCTGGCTGTGCTTGGCCACAGAATCTGTTTCTTAACCTTCAAGTTCAGCATCACTCTCTGCACTGCTAAGCGTGTGCAGTGAAACTTCAGAGCTCTCTTTGGACCACTGACCCTGTGTCCAGCCCAGAGTGTTTGGCCTGGGCCTGCCCGGCAGCTCCACTGTGTAATAGCAGAGTGGAGCAGGGGCTTCTGCACAGTGACAGCCTCACCGCCTGCCTGCCTTCCGGACACACATGGCTGTGATGGCCGAGCAGTGTCACCAGAGTTCTTCTGGGAACACAAGCATTTGAACTTTTTAAAAAAGATTTTCAGAGATTACCTAAGACTACTCAGTGGAAGCGGAATCTGGCTTTTCATTTTTAATTTGGGGGAAAGTACACTATAGTTGCAATAAAGAAAAATTTAAAAACTAAAATCATCTATTATTTCATCTTTGCATAAGAGCCACATTCCAAAAATAATGTGTGTTTTAGATTGAGGTATCCTCAATCATGTGCCTTTAAAACAGTATAACCAGTGTTTCAAGGTAACTATGAAAATAGTGATTGAATTTTAGTTCTTTTGTCATTTCAGATGGTATGAAGGAGACTTTATACTATATTTTTTGTATGAACTTTCATTATCTGTTATTCCTTAAAATTTAACTATTTAAAATGGCTTTTATTAAAATAATATTCAGCAGTTTGTCCTTCTGCATTAGAAAAAAAAACAAACACAACAACCCGACTTTAGAGACATTTCCAAATACTATTTCTTCTAGGTGATTATGATTAAGAATTAGAAATAATGCTTTGTCAGCTCTTATTGAGTCAAAAAGTAAAAGTTGAAAGATTTATATGAAGTGAAGAAAAATCAGATTACTGAGGCAGAAAAGAGAGAACTATTTTTGGAAACTCCATTTATTACATAAGCATTGCTGTATATTCACAGGTTACAGAGGTGGTTCTGTGACAAATGTAGATATGCTAGGGGCAATATAGCAATTTCCCTGCTCATAATTCTGTCTTTTGCAAGTGCAGGCCGTAAATGTTGACTTTGAATGTTATGTGCATAGAAATAATAATGTTGATTTTTATACTTCAGGAATATAGATAAATATATTAGAAAAACATTTTGTAATTCTCTGGTAGCCAAATTAGAAATTGTATAGGATAATATAGAAATACCACGTGCTCTCAGAAAAATTACTTGAAGTGTTACTGACCCAAGATAAATACCAGAAAATGATGTTTAAAGAAGGGAGTTTTTCTTTTCTTTTTTTTTTTTTAAATTAAGGACTATCAGTTGTAGAAAACTAATTTGAACCTATGTTATAGTACATAACTCTTGCTATTTTATTGTGCTTTTGGTAATTTTTTCCTTTGAATTGTAACTCATTTTGAAAATTCAACAGCGACTCTTAGAGCTTCCTATTTCATGTTTATGTGATATATTTGGTTTTGCTTTTTCTTTTTTGTGGAGAGGAAATGTGACATTAGTTTAGAAAATCAAATTACATTATGACATTAAAAAATATTTTGTGTGGGCCCTCCCTGGTGGCGCAGCGGGTTAAAGCACAGCACCAAGAAGCTTAAGCCGCTTCCGCATGAGTTCGATTCCCGCCTGCCCCGGAGGCGTGGCAGACCTCTCCTGACCCGCCCATTGCTCCCCTCAGCAGTGTACTTCGTTGATCTGCCTGTTCTGCTCCCCACTCTGTTCCTGGCGAATCCTCTCACCCTTCGCATCTCTGGCCTTTACCCCAGTTCTATATGAATAAATAAATCTTTAAAAAAAAAATATTTTGTGTGCCTTGACCAATACTTTTAACTGGAATAATCTGTCAAAATTATCTATCAACTTTGTAACTATAAAAGTTAGCAAAAGTAAAAAAAATGCCTGTAATAAATACCTGTGCATGGATAACCTTATTTTTTCTGAAATCTAGACAAGCTTTTAAAGTAAACATCATTTTCAAACTCACACCCAGGACTATGATCACAGGTAAATACCATCAGACGTCAAGGTTCAGTCATGGATCTTTAGAGCTTTATTTTGTCCCTTGTTGTATAGTAGTTCTTTGTGTTTAAATTTTGACTAGTCTTGGGACCTCCCAAGTGGTACAGGGGTTAGGCAGCAGCCACTCAGCATGTATTTGATCCCCAGCCTGGGAGGTGACTCGCATGGCGCAACAGACCTTTCCAGTCTTGCCCACTGTTCCCTTCAGCAATGTGTTTCAGGATATCTGCCTGTTCTTCTCCTTACTCTGTCTCTGGTAAATCCTCTCACCTGTGGCTTATACCTTAGTTCTTGTATGCATAAATAAATTAATCTTAAAAAAAAGAGTTTTAACTAGTCTTGAGAGCTTTTTCATTTAAGGTATAAATTTGTTAATCCTGATATAAATGGATATTACTTTATGCATCAGTTTACATGATGATGTCTTGATTTGAAGGTCTCTTATTTAAAATTACCTTGTATTAGCTTTTGATAGATTGAGAAATTGATATTTCATTTGCAATTCTGTTTTACTTTTTCACTTGAATAGTTAGGAAATGCCTGTGAAGTTTTTTATGTTATGAGAATCTATTGTCAAACAAAGTTCCTTCACAGGTTAGCCTCTTAATAAACATCTACAGCAAGTCTTATTTTTTTTAAGGTTATGTAACACAAGGATTGTAAAGTTTGTGTGCGTTTATGTGTTTATGTATATAGTCCCAGCTGTCAACCAGTTTCTTCATATATTTTGAATTTTGTATATGTAATCATTGTGAAGGTAAGGTCATTTCTCCCTTATTTATTCACTTTTCACTCTCTTGACAGGGGAAAATGCAGTGTTGCCCTTCTGAATGAGACAGAATCGGTATTGTCATATCTTGATAAAGAGGTAACTAACAGTTATTCTTGTTTCCCCCCTTTTCATTCACATGAAGCCTGTACTTTGAATTTATGTCTTCTTGTAGCTAATTAGAGCCCCTTGCTAGTATTACTATAGTAAAATTAGTTTGACCAGAATGCATTTGGGTAATTAACATTTTCTGTTTAACTGAAATAAAAAGTTGGCAAAAATGCCTTTATGTCACTGTCTTTTTTTTGATTTGGTACTGGAAGTTTTTATAAAGTTTTATGAAGTATGTGATTTAGTTTGTAGAAGGTATATTTTTGATTTTATGAAATAAGGAATTTATTTGACTTCCCTCCTTGTTTTTTTGTTTTTGCTATATTTTAAATAACTTTCCAACTTTTTCCAAGTGGGATTTTATTATTGGTGTTCTGTTTTCTTTTCCTAATAAGCTTTGTTAATAAAATATACTTCTTTCTGATAATGTCAACAGGAGACATTTCTGTTATGTTTTTTTTTTTTTTAGATTTATTTATTTGTGCATATAGAACTGGGGTTCAGGCCAGAGGCTCAGGGGCGGTGAGAGGCTTCACCAGAGACAGAGTGGGGAGCAGAACAGGCAGATCGATGAAGTACACTGCTGAGGGGAGCAGCGGGTGGGTCAGGAGAGGTCTGCCACACCATGTGGTCACCTCCAGGGCAGGCGGGAATCGAACTCATGCAGAAGCGGCTTTAGATTCTCAGTGCTGTGCTTTAACCCGCTGCGCCACCAGGGAGGGCCTCTGTTATGTTTTTAACAAGTTAAATTCAAGCAAGTACTTCATCAAAGGGAAGAAATTCTTATAAAACAGAATATTCTATTTTTACTGTTTTATTTCATTATGGGGAAATATGCGACTGGGGAAATATGTTGGTAATGTTTCAATATTTAACCTATTGTTTCATGCCATTTTTATTTTTGCAAAATCTTTATTACATTTTTTTTTTTTTAATTTAGTGGACATATTTTCTTTAAAAAGCTTCATATACTTGGGCCTCCCTAGTGGTGCAAGGTGTTAGGTCTCCGCTCTATGAAGCTATTCGCGGTCACTGCAGCACAAGCTCGATCCTTGTCCAGGGAGCTAACTCACAGGGTGTAGCAGACCTCTCCTGTCTGTCCCACTGCTCCCCTCAGCAGTATATTTCAGTGGATCTGCCTGTTCTGCTCGCTACTCTGTCTCCGGTGAATCCTCTCGTCCACTCCGTCCATCCTCCACCTCTGGCCTACACCCTAGCTCTTGTCTGCATGCATGTATAAATATTTTCTTTAAATTTCAAATACTAACCAGAAAAAAAGATTACTGTAATACTATGCTTTAGAAAAATCTGAAAAAAAGGAAAGTAAATATATTTTTATAGCTTAGGCTTTGACATTTAGAATAAGAAAGAGGGTTTATTGTCAATTCAACAGAATGATGGATAATAATATGAATGCGATGATGCTGAGAAACTTAGCATTATTTCACAGAGACAGAAATAAAAAGAAACATTCAATATGTTGAAGTTTATTTTATTTTAGTGCATTTAGCTAAGAGAATTTTTTTTTAATTTAATGATTTTTTTTTCCCTGCTAATTTGTTGTATATAGACATTGTAGTAGATGAACATTTGCAAAGTTCTGTTGGATATTTTTCTTATCTACTTGATTTTTTTAAATATATTTTTTACACCATTCTTCATTTTGTGCATTTTTTCATGTTTAAACTTGATTTTTACCCCTGACTTTTTACATCTTGTCCTTTTAATAGGACTGACTTCAAGCAGTATATTTAAAGAAACATTTTTAAAAAATTTAGTAGGAGGGGCAGTTTAGGAAAACCAAAACTGCTAATATTTTGTTCAATTTGAAAAATACTTTCTGTGATTTAGATTACTTTATTATATGGCTATCCTTGAGAGAAATCTGTTTTTCAGTCATATAAAACTCTTGTGTTTGGTATATTTGAAGATGGCAGCTCAAAGGGCATTTTTTTCCTTTTCAAGTTTTATTGATTTTCCAATTTTTGCATAACTAATTTTGGGGGGACAACCTCACCCTCCATATGCACATGCACCTGATTCATGCACCTTCCACCAAAGCTCTAGTGAAAGGGTAACTTTCTGATTTTTTATTTTCTAACTCTATACTCCTTGAAATTGGCACATTAAGCAATTCCTTTTTAAACAACTTTTATTTGAACTAAACATTTTGAGTTTTATATCAGCATATATAAATAAATTTCCATGTCTGAGCAATTTATGTAATGCTAAATAATAATGCCATTTCAATTAGATGTAAGTTGTTTATACTTTTAAACTTGATGTAATTTGAGCCAGTGGCAATAACTTTTATTTATCTAGTAACTCTCTGTTGCTCCTGTCAAAAAACAGTGGTTACATTCTGAATTCCCCACACCATCCATTTACGCAGGTTGGTTTTTATGTCCCCGCTGATTTTTTTCTTTTCTTCAGATGGCATTTCCTTCCATGCATAGGTTGTCACACTGGTGTTACTTCTAACATTGCTGCCATTTAGTCTTTCCTTCTGACACAGTGACCCGTGATCGAAATACAGTGCTAGAGTTTTTCAAGGGGTGGTATTTACCTTTACTCGTTTTTTCCTCATTTTTCACAGTCTACAAGGCGTAGTGGAGAGAGATTTACCATCTGACAGATTATTTCTTATTTTCAGTGTGATCAGCTGGGTCTTGTAACGTGGTTATGGTAGAGATAGGTCCTTTCCTGAGTCGTGCAATAGATAACCTTTAGAATTATAGTGAGAAGCAGAAACAGGACTTTGCTATTTTAAATGACCTACACTGTTGATGAAGAATATTTAGCAAAGTACTAGTGGCCAGGGCATTTTATCCATGAGACTCTGCTACTAGAGCATTCTTGTCTTTTAAGAAACAGTGAAAAGATAGATGGATAAATTCACTTTGGGACATGTAAAGTTAAGTTTATATGACTATTTGTATATAAATGACTGCTACAGAATTTAAAAATTGCAGAATTATAATAATAGGTTAATGAAATTATGCAATATGGCATTTTAATTAGTAAACTGCATATGAGCTTAACTGTAATATTTAAAGTGCGATGTGTGTCTGTTTAAAACTTTTTTGACAGGTTATGGGATGTACACTCCAAAAGCCAGAGTTCTTGGTATCTATAAAGTTACCTTTACTGTTTGTTTTAGGCTTAGAAGTTTAAATGGTTACCTGATTCAGGTATCTTGCCCTTGATTTATAGTTTAACTTTGCTGGCTTTCCAAAATCAAATTTTAGAGTAGTTAAATAGTTTTCTTTCAAACTAACATAATGACACTTTGTAATATGCATTTATGGTCAACTATTTGTTTTGGCTTGATTTAATTTTACACTTTCTCACATGATGGCAATAACATTATGCTCTCCATAGGGATTTAGGAATATATTCACCAATATGACAATTTATAACATGTTCTAAAGTACATAGTTCATTACTGGGATGTTTAATTTATGTCTCTATAAAAAGCTCAAGGAATTGTTTATCTTCTCTGTCATTGTTTTTCAGGATTCTTTTTTCTATTCTTTGGTGTATGACCCCTCAGTGAAAACACTGTTAGCCGACAAAGGTGAAATCAGAGTGGGACCTAGATATCAAGCAGACATTCCAGAAATGCTCTTAGAAGGTATGTGTCTCTTCAGGTTTCAAGACATATGACAACAAATTTGTCTTCACACTCAAATACCATTTCCTTTATATGGGAGAGAAACAATGTCTAAGCATAAGTTAAAGAATTAGTTAACTTCGAATTTTAGAAAAGTAAGATTTAACAACAGAAAATATATTATTTCATCATTAATTCATTTTTTTATTTCACATTTTTATGAATATCCTGGCTGTGTTATTCTTTCAGGTACAACTTTAAGAGTGTTAGTGTTGCTGAACTTGTGTTTTAAGTGGGACATGTTCATGTCTTTACATCTACCTGAGGTGGCCATGTAATCTGTGAACAGTTACATGCAGTCACACATGTCACTTATGTAAGCTTAGATGCTGTTTTATTTTTTGACTCAAAATCTCAAACTTTCTGGGCTTGTATGGTTCTCTCTTGAACAGTGAATTATAAGTAAGCAAATTTGTGAAAAGCCCAAAAATTTTTGCGTACGACTAAGAAGGCAAAGATAAATGAAGCAATGAAGTTGGGATGTTGCAAATAACAGTGGGCAGAAGCTTCAGTTCCACAAATTCGTCTTATTTGAAAAACCAAGTAATGATATTTGCCCCTGAAAAATGTAAAGGAAGGTTAGTTAGAGTGATCTGATTTGGAAAGCTTATCTACCTCGATTAAAATTTAAAAAACATTATTTTAGTAATCAAAACAAAATACAAAAGACAGTATGTTATTCTATAGTATTCTAGGACTTGAGGGTTTCAAAGGTAAGAACCTTGAGGTTCTTGCAGGTAGTTATTAAAAAATTATTTTAAAACATTATTAAAAGACAGAACTAGGAGGCAAACTGTAAATCAGGACACATTCAGCAGGGAGGGGTGCGGAGGAGCATCAGAACGGGAGGGAAGAGCACACGAGTCCATGGTGACAGCTCAAGGGTGCCTTGGTGCTGGTAATTATATGGGGACAATACCTGAGAAGATAAAGTAAACATTGTTCAGAAATGAGCTACATGTCAAAATACATAAATAAGAGTGAAAAAAAAGCTAAACATAATTTTTTTTTATTGAAGTAGCATTGGTTTATGAAGTTATATAGGTTTCAGATATTCAGTATGATAAATCAATGTGTTTACGCTACATTATGTTCCTGAAATTCTGATTTCCACTATAAAAGGAATGTTGCACAGTAGCTTATGGCACGTGGAGAGTTATCTGACAAGAACATTCTCTATTAACAAAATATGACTAAATATTCATTAATGTAATAGATTTTATAGTTCATTAACAAGTATTAGTTGCCTTTAACATTTCTCCTCGTGGTCTTCTGAGTGAGTGGCTTACATCTTTGAGCAAAAGATCCTTTCTTTAAATGAAATATTGTATATGACCCTAAATAAAATAAGAAAAATGAGACCTTTGAGGGTGAGAAGGCCCCGTTGACTCCACTGCAGTTTGTGACTTAGAGAATTAGTTTGAAAGCTGCTGTTAGAATCTCATTACATCTCATTACAATCAAAATCCCCAAATAAACTTTGCTTAATTTTAAGTACCTATGATAAAGACCTTTTGTAACATAAGAGAGCATTCCCCCAGTTTTTAAATCTTTAAATTTATTTTATTGCAAACTCTATGAATTGTTGTACAAAATGTAGTTATACTAGAAACAAAAAGTAGTAGTTCTTCAGAACATTCTTTTTATGTTCTGAACTTAGCCTCTGTTATTAATTCAGCATGTTCTCCCAGACTGCTTGTTATATAAATATACAGAATCCTATGAAATTATAGTCTATGCAGTATTCCATTGTGTGATAGAGCCAAATTTATGTTATCCACTGTTATATATCTTATGGTAGGGTAATTTTTCTCCTCATTATTCTTTAAAACTTATGGATGTTGGAGGAGTCTCATCTTAGTAACTTCTTAAAAAGCATGCCATGGGGTTCCTGTTGGTGCAGGGGGGTGAGTTTCAGCACTATGAAGCTCTCAGCAGCCTCTGCAGCATGAGTTCAACCCCGCGTCAGGGAGCTGACCCACATGGCAGCAAACCTCTCCTGTCTGTCCTGCTGTGCCCACTCAACAGTGTATTTCAGTCAGTTTGCTTGTTCTGTTCTCACTCTTTCTAGTGAATCCTCTCCCGCATTCCCTTTAATAAATTACATACTTAGAAATCTTTAAAAAAAAAAAGTCTAAATTAGTCATTTTCTTTCCTTCCAGATTTCATTAGGATTCTGATTGCAAATGTATTAATATCATTTATTATTTTGGAAGATGATTGACCCTTTTATACTATGAACAGTATGTGGATCTGTTTCTGAAGTTTTCATTCTGTTCCGCGGGTCTGTTTGTTCATGCCCTAGTAACTCACTATTGTAACTATAGAGGCTTTGGATTGTGTATATTATCATCTGGTAAGGCTAGCTCCCCAGTTAATCAATTTGACTAACACCAGAAGATAAAATCTTCCTTCCTATTTTATTGGGATTGTCATTAATTTTCAGTTAATTTAGTGGAGAATAGATATTTTAATGTTTTTTAAATTTGTAATCTTTTGTTCAAGGCTTAGGGTTTTGCAAATGTTTTTGTTTTTTATATAGATTTAATACATGTTTTGTAAGTGTGTTTTTAAGTTTATAACTTGTTAGCATTATTTGTAGGTATTTATCTTTAACAAAGAAATACACCACATTTTTTTTTTTTTTAAATTTATTTATTTGTGCATACAGAACTGAGGTAGAGGCCAGAGGCTCAGGGGCGGCGAGAGGCTTCACCAGAGACAGAGTGGGGAGCAGAACAGGCAGATCGACGAAGTACACTGCTGAGGGGAGCAGCGGGTGGGTCAGGAGAGGTCTGCCACACCATGTGGTCACCTCTGGGGCAGGCGGGAATCGAACTCATGCGGAAGCGGCTTTTAGATTCTCAGTGCTGTGCTTTAACCCGCTGCGCCACCAGGGAGGGCCACCACATTTTTTATATGTATATAAAACAATTGTTCGTATAAACGAACAAGGCAGTTTGAACTCTTACTTCAACTGAAAGCATTTCACTTTTAGCACATTCAAAATGTTTCTTTTCACTTATAATAAGGCAACAACTAGAGGCAAGATTTAAGATTTCCTCCCCTCTTTCCTCTAATGTTTTTATTTCCAGTGGAGAAGGGTATAATAGGGTGACAAGTAGTCAAACTTACTGGTAAACCACATTTGAAAAATATAGTCATTGTCATCGTAGAAACTTCCTCATTTAGTGGGGACTTGTTTGCAGAGAAATGAAAGAGTATACAACACCTTACTCATTAACAGATGCTGAGGATTTGTTGCAGTCTGTGGCTATTAACTTATTTGATGCTCTTGAGGGACTACCTTTCAGTTGGTGGGCAGTTTTTCTTTTTAAAGATTTATTTTATTTATGCATACAGAATACAGAACTGGGGTACAGCCCAGAACTGCAGAAGTGGTGAGAGGATTCACCAGAGACAGAGTAGGGACCAGAACAGGCCTACTGATGAAGTACAGTGCCGAGGGGAGCAGTGGACAGGTCAGGAGAGGTCTGCTGTGCCTTGTGGGTCACCTTGCTGGCTGGGGTTTGAACTCATGCTTTAGCAGCTGGCTAGCTTCGCAGTGCTAGGCTTTAACCTGTTGTGTCGCCCGGGGGGGGGGGGGCTGGTGGCCAGTTTTTCAGTCTCATGCACTGGCTTGAGGTGTAGAATCTGAATTAGTACTATGATAGATGGTAGCATCGACAATGGTCAGGCTTGCTCTCTTGGTGAATGTGTCCTGATGGATTGTGACACTTAGTGAATAAATCTTTTGTCATTTTAGAATATTTAAATTTGTTATGTTTGCTAATCTTCTAACAAACTCTTGAGATCTAGAAAGAGTAATATGCCTTTTGCAAAGGCAGGTAAAACTTTGAGATTTTAAATCCTTGAGTTTGAATAAACCATCTGAGAAACTTTCCATTGAGAAGATGTCATCCGTGGGATGTTTTCAATTATTCTTTAACTGTATTGTAATACTGGAATTTTAAGAATGAAATTATGTGCATATTAAATTAAAATTTGTAACTGTTTAAAAGCATTGCAATAGTAAGTTATTAAATTAATGACTCTGGATTCACAGCTTTGGGTGAAACCTGCCTTCGCTGTGTTCTGAGTAACCTTGGAAAAGCAATTTATCCTCTCTACTTTACCATTTCTTCTTCTTTAAAAAGGGACTAATCATGTACATCGTAATGTTGGAATGAGTAAGCGAAGTGATTCTTGTAGCACAGCCCCCAGCACTGGGTGTGAGCTGTCACAGTTGCCTCTCACCTGGCCACCATTGTCTTTTGCTCCTTTAATTAGCGTTTCTGTGATTGGGAATTTTAGGAGGTCTTGCTTTGGGTGTTTAAAAAATTACAGTCTGTTCAGCTACAGCAATGCTTTTTAAAAATCAGTTAGATCGGCCCTCCCTGGTGGGGCAGTGTGTTAAAGCACAGCACTAAGAAGCTTAAGCCACTTCTGCATGAGTTCGATTCCCGCCTGCCCCGGGAGGTGACTACATGGCGTGGCAGACCTCTCCTGACCCGCCCGCTGCTCTCCTCAGCAGTGTACGTTGTCATCTGCCTGTTCTGCTCCCCGCTCTGTCTCTGGTGAAGCCTCTCACCCTCCGCATCTCTGACCTGTACCCCAGTTCTATATGAATAAATAAATAAATCTTAAAAAAATTAAAAAAAAAATCAGCTCATACACAGTCAGTAAATAGTAAAATGTCAGTATAGTACGGTAATTGTTCAATTGAGGCTTTTCCAAGTCAGTAGTCTCACAAACGAGCAGTTTTGATTTAAAAAAAAAAAAAAAAAAAAAGACGGAAATTCTACAGAAGTACCTTCCTCCTCTGCAAGGAGAGTGATTTAGTAGCCTCAGAACCTGGCACTTGCCAGTCTGTTAAGATTGGGGCAGCTTACGGTTGCATATTGGAGGGGCTGTAAAGAAGTTTCTCCTAGTGATCTAAAAATCTGAACCCACCCTGGGCTCTGTTTTTAATTTTGTTGAAACTGTACATAATGACCTACAAATCTGTGGAAGAAGCATGAGTCTAGGGCTTAAGGAGATGAAGGATGGAAGACCTTTGTGCTTGTTGCAAAGGTCAGCAGAGATTTAACTGTACTGGTATTCTTATGATGGTTGTTGCTTGCTTTTCTTTCTTTTTTTTTTTTTTTTTGAGTTCTTTGTTTAGCAAGTTTCATAGGTTTTCAAAGCTTTGTCTTATTTTTCTATAAGCCCAGTGACTTGTTTATAAATTTGCTGAATGTTCTTTCTGTATGTGGTAAATGTTAACCAACTTAACAAAACACTGGCTCATAGCACATAGGTGTACACAGGAGTTGATTGCAAGCACGTAGACCGGTAATTTCCAACTTGGGGCGGTTTGGTCTTGGTTATACCATTTGGGGGAGGGTAAGATACAGCTGGTGTCTAGCAAGTAGAGGCCAGGATGCTGCTGAATATCTTATAATGCCCAGCATAGTTTCCAAAACCGAGTACTTGGCCCAAAGTGTTAGTGGTGCAGAGTGAGAATCCTGCTTTAAAAGGTTCTTAACGTAAGTAAGCACTTGAGTAAATGTTAGTATCTACATAACTATAATAGTGTTTAAAATTATAAATGTAATTATATGAGCTAGTCTACATCTCTGCTTTTGATCCTTTTTTGTTTTATATTGAAATAGATGTGTAAAGTGTGATATCCTTCACTCTGCATCTCTATGTTGGGGGTTACAGCTGGCTTTTTGTTCCCTGCCTTTGGCCATGAGGCAGAATGGACAAGCCCCTACCTGGCAGCGGTGACTGACTTAGGAGCTGCATGCAAAATGGCTGATTATCCCTTCCCTGTTTTTGTCTGCGCCTTAGATGCCCACGCTCCTATACCCTGGGTTTGTCCACCCCTGGGGAACGTTTCTCTTTGCACTGCGTCAGCCATGGCGAGGCCCTCTGCCTGATGTCACAGGTGCAGGGATCAAAACAAAACAGACAGAAGCAGCCCTTTGCCTCAGTGGGCGATTGTCAGCTGTAAGTCAGAATTTCATCTGAGTCCTACATCTGTCTTCCTTACTCTCCTTTATCCAGCCTTTGAGCCCTGCCTGATGGTCACAGCTCTAGGAGAGATTCTTGAAGCAAAGCGCCCTGCTTTTTAGCCTTTCCTCAGCCCTCACCTCCCGTTTGTTTCCTCTGTTCTATAATGCCAACGCTACCCATACACTTTTCAAGATTTGAGATTTGCCAGCTGCATCCAGCTTATTACTGATGACCCTAAATCTCTTTGCTCTGTGTTGGCACTTTCCAAACCACGCCTGTTTTTATCAGTGTCCCTGTAGAGTAGGGATGCAGCATTGCTGTGCGCAAGAACACGCGGTTTTGGACTGGTTGCTAAACAGCAAGGGTGTCTCTAGGCCTCCAAGTAAAATCTGTTCGGCGAGTCTGCGTAGTGTCTTCAGGAGTATTTTACAAGCCCGCTTCTCCTAACTCCCTCATCTCATTCCCCTCATTGTATTCCTGATGAAGCAAATTACTTTCCTCTCCTGCATTTTAATGCCCGTAACTTTGTTCATGTTCTCATTTCTTTAAGTCCTTTTTCTCTGCCAGTACATTCACACCCTTCAGTTCCTGGTAGAAATGTCACCTCCTTCACAAGGCAACGGCATCATGAAACAACTCTAATCTTCGGAATCTTACAGCTACATCTGTGTGTCTCTGATGACATTTATTTCTTTTTGAATCAGGTTTTTTTTTTTAATGTGGAAGTTTTATTATATTGTCTTTGTGGCAGGAGCACACTCTTTTGTCTTTATGACAAAAGGCTAGTGCTTCACATGTAGTAGAAGTAATCAGGAAATTTTCATTAATGATGAAATGACGATATTTGTGGTTGGTGGGTTTGTGTTATTGTCCATGTCCACAGGGTGCTGTGCCTCTGCTATCTGAGAGAATATGGCCACTTCCATTGTATTTTGAATGCTGTGGTGACTGCAGTCACCAACCATATGTGCCAGTGTGCTTTGTGAGTGACAAGACTCCATTTCCTTTGTTTTCTGACAGGAGAATCTGATGAGAGAGAGCAGTCGAAGTTGGAAGTTAAAGTTTGGGATCCCAATAGCCCACTCACGGATCGTCAGATTGACCAGTTTCTAGTTGTAGCACGGTGAGTGTGGTGCAACTGGGTCAAGAAGGAACTTTATTTTTTATAAGAATATATAGATATATGTCTGTTTCTTTGCTCATAATCTCTAGCTGTCTGTGTAAGAAGGCCTGACCTTTGTCTCACTGTTTCCTGGCTAATGAGATTTTTATCATTATTTTGTATTTTAAAAATAAAAACATCTTTTTACTAAGATGACAATAAATACATCTTACAAATTTACTACAAAGAAGAATTCCACACAAAGAAGAAATTCAACACAAGAAATCTCATATTTTCAGTTAAGACAACAGTCTCTTTCAGTCTGGACAGGGATTATTCAGTTGTCAGTATTGCACACCTCTGATTCCCATGATTACACTCGTGAAGAAGGCCTGTTGCTAAGCACGGGCTCTCTTCTGAGAGCTCTGAGCCTGGCTAACTTGCTTCCTTCCTCTTATCTTTTCTTGAGAAAATGAATGGTTTAGAAACCTGTTTTTATTTTTTCGGTTGTAAAAATAAGCATGGTCATGGGGGAATTGCTGCAAAGTGGAAAGTAAAATGAGATTATCACAGCATTGTGATAATGGAAAAATTGGAAACAACTTAAAAGTACACCAGTAAGCAAATGATGAATGGAGGTATACTCAGTAATCAAGTATTACTTTACTGCAATTAAAGTGAATAAATTAGGGCTCTTTTAGCAGCAAGATAAATCTTGCAAGTAATGTTAAGGTACATCAGTGGGAAAGGCACAGAAAGAGTCCCAGGTTTCTTATTCTTCCTCCACACCCCTACCCAGAGCCTGCTGGGAAATTTGCTGTCTTGGCAGGGGCCTAAACCCCTCATCCATAGACACCTGGCTGAGCACTAGGACCTAACAAGAGGAAAACCCAGAGAAACTTGAAAAGTGAAATGGGGCAATGATGTAGACAGCCGGACGCCCATTACCCACAAGAGCACCTCAGTAGCCACCTCCTTCTGTTAGTAGAAGGGGACTCACGGCCTCCCTGGGCATGGGCACTCAGTGGAGCCAGCCCCATCAGCCACTGCGCTTTTGGGCAGTTTTGGGGGCCATATATCTGCCAGACCAGGCCAAAGATCTGGCTATGCTGGCTGGTGCCCTGGGTGCAGCCTCCCTGCAGGGACATGGAGATGTTGTCACGCCTGTCTGTCTCATCCTGTTGTCATAGATGTGCCGTCAGGTCCTGGGAGCGGTCTTGCCCACCTGGCTGGCTCATATGCTGGTTGAGTAGTCTGTGGGTAGCAGCATATGTTTCTTGGGGCCATACAGATGTCTTCTCATGCCATTCGCTGGTCTGCCCAGCAAGCTTGCACACTTGTTAGTGCCGACTGGGCTGGCCTGCTTCTGTTGTGGCTGAATCAAAGCTCTGCTCCTGCTTCTCTGAACATTTGACAGTGGCATCCACGCTGCTTAGCAGCCTCTTTGTTGGCCTTTCCTGCAAGGGTGAGAAGAGACCACCTCTGGGCCGTGGTCCTCTCTCAAACAGGTCATTGGCAGATTTGGTGACATGACTAACCATTGGATTGATGAAGGTTTTCTAGCTGGTGCCAGTTCCTCGTGGACTTGTTGATCTTGGAGTCCGAGCCCAAATCCAGCTTTTTCATGTGTGCACCAGATAATTTCATCCTTCAGACCTTGCTGGATGTTAACAGGGGCCACTAGAGGCCTGGGACTCCCTCAGTTCAGCTGTGGAGCTCCTGCCTCCTGAGAGTCGTATTTGCACAGGAGCTGTTACTCCACTCGGTGGGGAGCCTGTGTGAAGGCCCCTTGTTGAACTGTGTGGACTTGGTAGCCAGTGAGCCCTCTTATTTTCTGATGAGATTGTTTTCATGATAAAAAGGGGGGGAAAGTTGTAGCCCATACTTAGATAGTACTGTTCATAGTGCCTGTCCTCAAGAGAGGTCCCCTCAGATAAGCAGCTAGGTGTTCAGATGCCAGGAACCCTTGTCTGGACACTAAGTGACTAGGTAAAGAGCCTTAATGGGCCTCCTTGGGATGGAGCCAGTCAGTGGAATAAAGGCTGAAGATTCAGGAGTAGAAAAAAGCCAGTGTTGGAACCACTGGTCTAGAGGGTACAGGTTGCCCGGATTTTGAATTATTTAGTAGGCATTGCAATTTTGTTCTTTTTTCTCTTCCTGATTGCCAAGGGACATAGGTTTCTTTACCCTTCAAGACATCATGAGAAGCATCAAGGTGATAACATTTAGTGTCTTTTTCAGTTTTGTTAAAAAAAAAAAAAAAAAATCTCAGCCCTCCCTGGTGGTGCAGCGGGTTAAAGCACAACACTAAGAAGCTAGGGCCACTTCCGCATGAGTTCGATCCCTGCCTGCCCCGGAGGTGACCACATGGCGTGGCAGACCTCTCCTGACCCGCCCGCTGCTCCCCTCAGCAGTGTACTTCATCCATCTGCCTGTTCTGCTCCCCACTCTGTCTCTGGTGAAGCCTCTCGCCACCCCTGCACCTCTGGCCTGTACCCCAATTCTGTATGCATAAATAAATAAATCTTTAAAAAAAAAAATCTCAGTAGAAATTAAGTCACAGTGTGCCCTCCCTTATCGCACAACAGGTTAAAGCACAGCACTATGAAGCTACCGCAGCCACTGCAGATTGAGTTCAATCCCCAGCCAGGGAGGTGACCTACATGGTGTTACCTCTGCTGTCTCATCTGCTACTCCCCTTAGCAGTGTATTTCAGTACGTCTGCCTGATCCTCTCCCCACTCTGTCTCTGGTGACTCCTCTTACCCCCCACACATCTGGCCTGTACGCCAGTTCTGTATCCGTCAATAAATAAATTTAAAAAAAAAATTCAGACACTGCAGTGAAATACCCTTGCACAGCCCACTGGGATGGTAATATCGACCAGCAGTGCCATGTTTCTTTCTGTGGAGTGGTCGGTGTGTTCACATCTTGCAGGGGGAACAGAATGACGATAGTGTCATTTGGTGTGTAGCTGCTCTGGAAGGCTATTTGCTGTCATGTAACATACACATCCCTTAAGTTTCACTACTAAATATGTGTTCAGCAGAAGTGCATCATTACACCCTTGCACTAACATCCCAATACAGATAGTGTTGGTGGCTCTATCCATGGTAGCTACTCCCAGACAGGAGACAAATGTCAATCCAGAGTGGAGTTGGGGGTGAGGGAGGCATCTTCTTTTCGGGGGAGGGGAATGAATGTGCCACATCCAGCAGCATGGGTGAAGCAACAATCATAAAATTGAACAAAAGAATATAAACATGAAAAGTAGTACATCACACTTGATTCTGTTTAAGTTCCCATGACCAGAACAAACTTGTATGGTTGGGATCCAGGTGGTGCTGCCCTTGGAAAAGGGGGTGAAATGCAAACGTGAGTGAAAGTGCTGTGATAATGGTTTTAGTGTTTTTAATGGAAATCTGCTACATACTGACTCCTTGTAGGAAGAGGTTGCTTCAGATTGATATTTCAAGGGAAAAAAGTTACAGGGATTGCACAATTTTGGACTAAAAATGTGGTCAGAATTTTGCTTTGCTACAGTAGTGAAGCTGCTGCTAATTTGCTTCATGTTTTTTGAACACAAGTTGAACGCCAAATTGTTTACTTGGCATTTCATAGTCTTTACCTTCTATATGCCATGCAAGCTACTTTTTCTTAATTATTTTTTTTTCCTTTTTCTTAATTATAATGGCCCATATGTGGTAAATTGGCTGGTCAGTTCTTAAAAGTCTTCTAGAAAGTACTTTGTGTACACACCCAAGAATTTGGTTTTCTCTTAACTGTCTTTCATTCACTACCCAAATGTGTATGTGTGTTAAATATAAAAAAGCATCAGCCTGATTCTCTCTTTCCTCCCCAGGGCTGTTGGGACGTTTGCCCGAGCCCTCGATTGCAGCAGCTCCGTGAGGCAGCCTAGTTTGCATATGAGCGCAGCTGCAGCTTCTCGAGACATCACTCTGGTAAGATGCTTTTAAAAGTTTGAGCTTATTATTTCTTTTGCTCTTTTTAGTTTTAAAGTCAGCAATGCAACACCGTGGGTGTGCGAGCACTGGCACACGGCCCTGCTGTGCACTGCGGTGATTTGGCTTGGCAGGTCGGCTCGCCGGGATGTCTCATTCCTAACGCACCAGCTATGTTTGTGAGCTGAGACAAGTAAGAACAACAGTTATCACAAAATGGTAAAAAATATTTTGGGGAACACTGTTCAGCATTCAAACCCATCTGTTTTCACTTTTGTACTTTTTTTTTTAATTTAAACTGTATTCCATCTTGTATTTAAGTACTTGACTTGTAGATCAGACATAATGCTTCAGTCTTTTTTTTTTTTTTTTTAAAGATTTATTTATTTGTACATACAGAACTGGGATACAGGTCAGAGGCTCAGCGGCGGTGAGAGGCTTCACCAGAGACAGAGTTGGGAGCAGAACAGGCAGATCGAGGAAGTACACTGCTGAGGGGAGCAGCGGGTGGGTCAGGAGAGGTCTGCCACGCCATGTGGTCACCTCCGGGGCAGGCGGGAATTGAACTCATGCGGAAGTGGCTTTAGCTTCTCAGTGCAGTGCTTTAACCCGCTGCGCCACCAGGGAGGGCCATGCTTCAGTCTTTTTAATGGAAAGGGTTACCTCTAGAAACCATTGTGTTGGAAGTTACTCTGTTGTCATGTTATTATTCAGTCTCAGTTTTTAAGTTTTTCATCTGTGCATTGGAAAGAGGTGTTTCCTTACATTATTTCATGGTGTTATGTTTGTTTTCCCTTTTTCTCTGTGGTGATCGAGTGAAGCTGCCTGTGCGGTTTAATTACACCAGCACGGCTCGCTGTGACGGGGCAGTGAGTTGCCCCTTGCCGCCTTCTCGCACCTGCAAAGTAGATCCACAGGTCTTTGCCAGAGTGACTCTGTTTGATTACCACAACTCTCAGAGATAAGCATGGTAGGATGCTCATTTTACAGATGAGCAAACAGGTTTAGTGAGGTTCCTTGACTCATATTCATTATATGTAATTCCACCAATTTTGTTTTCTATGAGGACAATGAGAGATTTTACTGCTTTTGCATTATATTTCGATTTGAAGTGTTTGTCCACAAGCTGCCACAGTAATGTGGAAACTCACTCTGGAATGCACACCAAATTCGTTTCTCATGATAACGTTTTCTTGTATTTTGTCATGCTGTAGATAAATGGACATTATAGCCACTACAGCCTTATAAAGCACTGATAGTCTGTAGCGGTTGCGGAACCCTTTTATCTCTTTTCAAAGACTAAAGTGTTGTTTATAGGAGCAGGTTTTCTTCTCTGTTGGTATTTTAACATTTTATATAAATGCTGGGGGGGGTTGTGTTTTGGTAATTTAATAACCCATGGAGTACTTTACTGGAGAAGAGTATAAAAGTCACATTTGTTAAAACCTTCAAAATCCTGTTAGCATATATTTATGTGACTCAATCATTGCCAGTATGTGTGTGTGCATGTGTGTATGCAAACACACACAAGATTGAGGAAAAAGGGATTTTTTATGATTCTATAGTAGATGTATATCACTATAAAAGCTGTAGTACAGTACATGTCCCCCCAAAATGTTTTGTTGTCATTGCCCAGAGTAGACTGTTCTGAGAATTCTGTTATTGCCTTTTAGGGACTTTTTGTGCCTTAAGAAACAGGAGTAACAGCAAAGTACAGAGTAGTAACAAGAGGACAGTGTAATTAAACTTTGCACAGTGCCACCTGGGGTAGTGTTATTAATATTTTAGTTCTTTGGACTAAAAAATACTAAGCCATTTTGGTTAGTGTTGAATTCTCAAATTGTAATAGTCTCCCCAGGTGCAATCCCTGTCCTCTCCGTGTCTCTGACCCCCCTCACTGCTGCCTCTAGTCGAGAGCGAGCCTTTCTGGTTAACCTGCTGTGTATCTTGTTTGTCCTTATAGTCTTGCTGTGTATTCATGTATCCAAAAGACACCTGATGGTTTAGCATAAGTCTCCTCTGTGATATTTGCTTTTTGCCTACTATCGAGATTCATAAATACATACATAGTTCATCCATTTTAAGTACTTTTTAGTATTTGTAGTATCCTTTTATGAATACTCTGTGACCACATTAATGTATTTCTGTATTTTCTTACCAAGGAACTCTGGACTACTTTAAGAACATTTTTCCTTTGTTGTTACCCTTAATGCCACGTTGAAAATTCCAACAAATGTCCCTTTCCTGAGCACATGCATGAGCTTTCTCGGGCATAACTAGATTTGAAATAGTTCTATAGAGCAGTGCTCGTTTTGAATTTGACCACATGCAGCAAAATTACTCTGCACATAGGGTAAAATGTATATGCCCACGTACAGTTAATGAGAGTTCTTTTCTTCCTTCTTCATCCAGTTGATTATACCTACAACACTTGGTATATTCAGTTTTTACTAGCCTGATGCAATCTCATTTTAATTTGTGTTTTCCAGGAGTTGTGTGTATTTAAATGTATTTACTGGCTCGCCAGGGTTTTTTTTCCTTGTATTTTAGATTTTTAATTTTTGTACATTCTTCATTTGCATTCTTCTAGTTTTTTCTAATAGTTCATAACATTTGTATTCATATTTAAAGCCATAACTGCACCTGGAATATATTTAAGAATGCAGTGAGATGTAGCGGGTTCTGATTTTGTTTTTCTCTAGTTAGTCATCACAGTACTTTTCATTAATCTGTTGTTTCTTTGTGCTCCTGTAATGCTCCCTCTATCTTACTTCAGGGTGTCAGCTACACGTGGGTCTACTTCTGGATTTGTAATCTGTTCTCTTTTGTTGGTTTGCTTATCTGTCTTTGTGTAAGCACACATTATAATACATTTGATTACTGGAGACAAGCCCCACGTGAGCTTTTTCACGCATAGTTGTGGTCATTTATAACAGTTTTGTACTTTGCCTTCTTTCAGTGTTTTCACCAACAAAAAAATACTTTTTTATGTCATTATAGAAACCTGGAAAGCCTCTTTTTTCATTTTAATGTTCCATACTAGGGAAGTTTTTTTCTAATGTTGTGTGACCTTGCTTTATGGATACAGTTGACCCTTGAACACATGGGTTAAACAGGGTTGATCTGCTGATGATGCACAGGTTTTTCTTTCTCCTTGTAGGTGCTGCATTCTTGAATTCAGCCAACTGTGCATGTCACTTGGATGAATCCAAGGGTGTGGAACCCACAGATCTGAGGAGCTTGACGATGAGTTATGGGCAGAGTTTTTACTGCATACTAGTTGCCCCCCATAACCTTCCACCCCGGTGCTGTTCATGAGTCATTTGTGCAGTTATTTCTATAGATGGTTGCTTTTGTTCTTAACACTGTTCTTGTGAGATAATGCTTCCATATTAACTGGGGGTGCTGTCCCTGTTATAGACCAGTAGATTCCCTAAAGAATGAGCAGAAAGCCCTTTCCTGAGATTACAGAGCTCTTGTGACTACTGGGGCTCATTTGCCTGAAAAGGGTGTGACAGGTGACTAGCAGGTAGGTGTGTGGGTTCTTGATTCACCGCTGTGGCAGCTCTCTGCTTCCCACTACTGGTGACTGATGGGACAGCAAAAGCATACTAACCGGCTCAGGACATAGTGTTTTGTTAGGTTTGTACAGCTGATTTCTGAGACAGGATGTGGATCTGTTCTGAACTGACACTGAGGAGTCTCTACTCCATCAGATAACCTTTTATCCCTGCCCTCTAATTCATTCTCATTAAAATGCTTTGGGTTGAAAGATCATTAGTGTTGTCTTGAATTTGGTAATACTTAAGATGATCTGTTCTTTTATCTAATATCTAAATGCTTTGGCTACTCTAGATTTAACTGTTTAGACTCTTAATGTTGTTCTTAGTTTGAGATTATATCATTTTGATGCCATAAAATTGTGATCCTCTACAAGTCATTGAAGCAGAGAGAAATTGATACCTTTGTTGTTTCAGGTGCTGTGACCCGCATTTTTAATCTTGCTTGCCCAGGTGTATCTTGATTTTTCTTTGATATTAAAATATGAGCTCCTGAGGCAATTCAATAAAAATGAGTGTAGGTGGTTAAAAGTTAATATGTCTAATAATATGATTTACAAATTGTCTTAAGCAACCTCCCACTTTATTTCCCTGTGAATCTGACAACTCTGGCTGGCTTCATGTACATGGAGCTGTGTGACATTTCCCTTTTTGTGACTTGCTTATTTTGCCTAGCATTAAAGTCTTCAAAAATCATCTCTGTTGTAACCTGCTAGCACATCCTTTTTAAGGCTGAGTAATATTCCATTTTATGTGTGTACCACATTTTATCTATTGTCTATCTATTGTCTATTAAAAGATACTTGGTTTCTTCCACTTGTTTGAATAATACTACCATGAGTTAGAATATACAAAATGATCCACTTTTACAGTTCTATGGGTTCTCCCCCTTGATTAATAGGCTGTGATCCTTGTAGCTTTAGCAAGTTAGTTAACTTCCCTGCAGTTACCTCATCTCCAATGGTAATAATCTGCCCTGCTTCAGGAGTTTGTGGGTTGACATAAAGAGAGAATGCAGGCATATCTCTGTACATACATCAGAGATGTATGTACCCAAGGCTGTAAAACTTGATTGAACTCCACTGGCACCCTTGATCATTCATGCCTCAGGACTATGTGGCTTCTCAGAGGAGCATAGAAAACTCTGTGACATCAACTGTCCAACTTGGGTGGAAGAGAATCAATTTATTTTTCACAAATCTTTTTATTTTGAATTTTCAACACTCCATTGCAACATTAAATTGCATTCAGCAGACCTCCCTGGTGGTGCAAAGTTGTAAAGCACAGCACTGTGAAACTGTCAGCAGCCACTACATCACGAGTTCAGTTCCCCAGCCCGGGAGGTGACCCACACGGTGCAGCAGACCTCTCCTGTCTCACTTGCTGCTTCCCAGTCTGTCTGTAGCCCAGTTCTTGTATAAATAAATAAATTTTAAAAAA